ATATTAAGAAGAAAACCTGAATGATACTGGTCTTCTTCACTGGTTTAAAATACAGTAAGATAAAAAGGATAAAACTGGCCATATTTCAGAAAAAAATCCATATCTTATAATTATCCTTAATAGGGATCATTCGCTGTTTTCTTTCCAAGCTTTTTAGGAACAAACTACTGCAATCAGACTTAAGAGCAAAACATCCCTATGTCTGTACCCAGGACTTTTAAAGAATCTCAGAGATATTCTGGGGTGACAGTAGATACTAATTGGATATAAGCTTCCAAAACCACTAAGGGACAGGTGCCATCCATCCATGACTACGTGAAAAGGAAGCTGGCAAATAAGGATGTTTAAGGCGGGTGACATCTGCATTTCTCTAGAATAACATAGTGGAGATTAATGTGAGTGCTATTTTGCTGAAAATTTTGATATCAGGTAATAGAAACTCTGATATAAATCAGTTTAGGAAATTCTATGGAATACACTAAATTGGAAATAGAACTATGGGATAAATGTACACCTTGACTTTCTTTTTTCAAAATCCTTCTGTGTGAAGTGGCTTCGCACTCAATATATTGAACTTACTATGTCTTGTATTTTTAAATATGGACATTAAACACCTGTTTCCTTATGGTTTGTATTGCAAGGCTAAGCTTTCCAGCAGCACAGCCCCACAAGAGCTCTGACTTGTGTACTGTAAATTTTTGTGTCTAGTGTGAGCCACATGCAATCTCTCAAATCTATAAAATTATACATATCATCTTTGATCTAAACCACTACAGGCTCAGTAGGGGAAACCATGTGGTTATCTGTGGGTCAAAAGATGATGGTGGCTTCTTTCACCCTTCCCAAAATCTGATAATTGAGACAAAGAATAATTACTGTTTCTCAACTCCTTCCTCACTTCCTTGAATGCAACCATATTGATTTTTAAGCAGCTTGAAATAGAAAAGTATTTTATGGAGACATCAGAAAAATGGGGATCAGACATGTACAAGTAGAGACCTAAAGAACATGGATGTTATTGGTTAAGTTGCATGAAGTAAGGTTTCTAAATAGGCTTCTGATAGCTTTTGAAGAAAGGGGAAAGAAAGGCAAAAATACCATTGCAAGGAGATAAATTTAAATGTGCAACACCAGAGAAAAGAAATATTGTCATTTATTTAGTGGTATCTTTATGGATTATATGAATTTGGGTTAAAAAGCAAATGTTTCTAAAACTAAAGCTTTCCCTTTGTATCTGCACGGGCTCTAGGTTACCAGATATATAAAATACTTATCAAAAAACTCTCTTTTTTTCTGAACCTATTGTCTGTCAAAAACCTAGGGGAGTTGAAAAACCCCAGAGTAACCCAGAGATTCAGTGTGAGAATTACAGTTGGCTGCTCCAGCCACTGATTGCCTGGTGTCTTTGGCAAGAACAAACACAGAGCCCTGTCATTTGATACCTCCAACCACAACCTGTGATAATCCACACTCTTTAAACCTTTGAATAGCTGTCACTGTGTCATCACAGTTTATTTTAAAATGGTCTTCCTCAGTACTAATCTCATTCCCAATCATTCATATTAATGTTAGAATTAGAGTGAATTAGGGCATTATTTGCCTCATATGTGACACTTAAGCACTTGTAAGTAATTGCACAGGGGAGAGGAGGGCATTAAATGGGAATGACACATACAGTATGAAAAATTGAAGAGAACAAATATTAAACTTTTAATAGAAATAACTCCAGCAGAACTTTCCCACAGGCAACAGAGCTCTGATATTTTTAGCTGTTTGAGGCCAATGTATGTTAAGAATAGAATTCACTGCAGTGGGAAAATACACAATTTCTATTATGGGGCAGTCAGAATAGCAACATACTGATGATACACTGGTATAAAATATGTAATTATCTAGCATGCAAAGAATAAATCGCATAAACTGTTTACAGTAGGAATTGTGATGGGACAATGACACATTGCTGTCTTCTTTGTGTAGCAAGGATAAAGTTTGGTTTCTAAAATTGCAAATTTTAATTCATGGTGTTTATGTGACACTTCCTGCAAGAAGGCTCTGATAATTTTTTTTTTTTTTAATTTCTAATAAATTAGGTTAGTTATTAAGATTAAAATGGGAGATAGAAGTGGTTAAAATTAGAAAGATGTCAGCTTGGATAGCATATTGTGTTTCTTCGTGTTGTACCATTAGTCTAAAATTACACAGAATAATCCTCGTTTCCCATGCAGCTGCAGATAACTTCAATTTTCCTTCTAGAACTAAGTATGGTGGTTCATTCAGTGGAAAATTCACAATCATACCTGGAGTGAAGCCCAACTCTTTGAGAGCTGTGCTTGGAGTGATTATTCTTGTTACACAACTCCTAGTCCATAATTTATTAATAATTCAGAGAACAAAGGCATTGAGTGTCCTCATCTATCATCATGTATAAAAATAGTTTTAATTGATAAGCCCGTCTGTTCTGTGTGCTGTTATTGTATCACTATAAATTGCAAAAATAGGGTGAAATCAATATTTTTTATCTGTCCTCCTTGGTAGCAAAGAAAGACCTAAGCTTCAGGATTAGTGGACAGATATGAGGAGGATTTCTTTCTTTGTGACACAAATCTGTATTAATTGATTTTTCTTGATGTGGATTAATTGCAGCTCTTTATTAGGAATAATATCACAAATAAACTGTAGACAAGTATAGATTGCTAAGCCTAGATTTCAATTGAATGAGGCTAATCAATACCTAAGTCTGTAATTTAAAGCAACTCATTAAGGCCTCGGGAAAAGCTAAGTAATATATGTGAGATATGTCTCATCTGGGCCTTACAGGAGTTTCTCCCTAAACAGAATAAATACATTTGCAATATATAATTATTGCACATTAATCTTGCTCAATTTTTTTTTTTTTTTTTTTTTTTTTTTTTACTAGCCAGCTCTTGCTCTGAGGGCGAGGAGAGCACCAATGGGCCAGAGCCCTGTGCTGTGTTTGTCATGTGCTGGGCAAGGCAGGAGGGGAGGCTGGGGGAGCTGGGAAAGGGGCTCAGCCTGGAGAAAAGGAGGCTCAGGGGGGATCTTCTGACTCTCCACAATTCCCTGAAAGAAGCATGCAGACAGGTGGGATCAGGCTGTGCTCCCAGGGAACAGGGACAGGACAGGAGGAAACAGCTTCAAGTTGCACTGGGGTAGGTTTAGATTTGATATTAGTGAAAATTTGCCCATGGAAGTGCTGGCCAGGCATTGGATAAGGCTACCCAGGGATGGTGGAGCCACCGTTCCCAGAGGGATCTAAAAGCCATACCAATGTGGCATTTGGGGACATGGGTTACTGGTGCCCGTGGCAGTGCTGGGCTGGTTGTTGAACTCTTGATCTTATAGGGCTTTCCCAACCTAAATGTTTCTATGATTCTATTCATTGACTCCAGCATTGTAGAGCAGACATATTTTGGGTCTTGTAGGTCATTAAAAGCCAACTGCTCTGGTACATCCCTTGTGCTATCTGTTCAATCAAATGGACAAAAGATCTTAGGCATCCATCTAAGGTTAAATACAGCAGCAAACATGATTAAAATTGCTATAATTGCTGCCTCCAGGAAATTTTAGTGACCCGTTTTTAACTTGTTTATTGTGCAAGGTGAATTCCAGGCTTTTGTGAAGAGCTTTTGGAATAAAAATTGTATAATGAAATAAGGCTGTAACATTTGGGTAATAGGATTGCCATATTGCTTGAGACAGATCCTAGGTTTAGAAGAACCAAATGCAAAATCTGGGATAAAGCAACTAAGTCAGTGTAACAGTAATGAACAATATGTTGAATTCCTAAATGATATTATAGTAAGTATATTTTAAACATACATTTTGGCATATGATCTTCCTGACCATGTATGTGGATAACATAGAAACACACTTCAAGAATGTACTCGTAGTTCAGTCTAGCGCAAATTTTAGCATTTAACAAATACATTAACTTCCTTTGACTTGCAGTGGAGATGCATCTGCCCTGGTAATTCCATGAATGCTGCACTTAACAAGATGTTTCCTTTCTGCTGCTTAAGACACTTGATTTTAAAGCTAGAAATCCCAAAATCTTAGCACAAGTCCCAGGTTTCAATGTGACTACAGCAGTGATAAAGGCAAATTATTCCTGCTGGGAAAACCATGATTTTCTCTACAATGGATTAAGCCAGGCAAAACATTCTATTAACTCTCCAATGTGCATATCCTGATAACCAGTAGATGCTGTTATTGCCATAAGCCTTGTCCTTCCTTCCCCCAGCTTCTAGGAGAAAAAGCACCTTGATTTCCAGTGCTGGAAACTGTAAATTCCTTCAGTGGCGATTCCTCCAGTGAGTTTGGCTCTCACTGTGAAGATACCACAGCTTTTTAACTCATGTGCAGCAAAGATCTGCTAACCAGGTGTTTAACTTGGTTAAATGACTTGACTTTGACTGCTGGTTCCCACATACATAAGTTTGTCCTTGTTCTTGTGTTAAGGATTGTTTTGGCAAGTAAATTATCTAACTCAAAGTAGCTGCTGCCTAAAGTAACTTCTTCCAGGAAAGACTTGACATGATTTGGGGCTGATTTTCTGCATGCCATGGTTCCTTTACACAACTGTATGGGAAGTACTGATAACAAGTGTATTTAATTGATATAGACATAATACTCTACATAACTACATAACGAAAGGTGCTACAGTATAGAAATTTCTTGCTCTTTCTCATTTCTTTATATCTCTCATTTGTAAATTCCATGTTGCTTCCATAGCAGCACCATAAATCAAAGCCTAAACCTAAAGATGTGTGCAAGTGGGAGGGCATCCAGGACAGACTGCTCTTGCATCTGACAGCTAAAAAAGCCAAGGGAATAAACACCATAATAAGTCAGTGTGCCCTATCTCTGGCTTAGATTATCTGGGGGCCATCTGAATAAACTCTCAGCTGCAGCAGGAAGCCCTGGGACTAGATCTTTCACCTTCCTTTGATTGTCATTTTCCAATTGTTTTCATTTTTCAGTGACGCCAGCACACTTGTTCATTGATGTTCCATTCTGGCCTTGCTCTGCCAGATCCACCCAGAGAAGACTGAAGCCAAGAACAAACAGGGGCTCAAAAAGGTGGGCTTTCTTTGAGGCATCCTCAGGTGTGAGGTCCTGAAGAAGGATGCAGGTTGTGCTTCAGATTTGTGTAAGTGCTTTGAGTTCATCAGGCTTCTTGAAAAGGTGGAAATGCCATCACATGCTCAGAACCAAGGGTACCAACAGCAGAGATATTTCTGTGGCAAAAAAAAAAGTCCTTTTTTTTTTTTTTTCTTTTCCAAACCAGAAAACTATAAAAGGTGACTATAGAAGGAGAGATTTAGCTCATTTTCTAATCTTTGTAAGACTGATTGTGCCATGAAAAGTGGCACAATGTGGCAATGCAACAAGTTCACTGGGAATTCCAAGTTGGACGGGACCAACAAGGATCATGGAGTCCAATTCTTAAGTAAGTGGCCGATATGGGGATTTAATCCACTTTGGTATTACTGGCACCAACTGAGCCAATCCCAGTTCATCTCTCTTCCCCTCCCCTCCCCTCCCCTCCCCTCCCCTCCCCTCCCCTCCCCTCCCCTCCCCTCCCCTCCCCTCCCCTCCCCTCCCCTCCCCTCCCCTCCCCTCCCCTCCCCTCCCCTCCCCTCCCTGTTCCGTTTCTGGGATGTATTACCCAGGTACACCAAACAAAGAGAGAGATAACACCTCAGTGAGTTCAGCACTGTGATTCCTCATCTCTCCTGCCAGCTGCTCATGTGAGATGAGGGAGAGAAAGATCCACACTCCTCATATTTATCCTGACCAAACTCATCATTCCTCAGGAACCGGAGTTGACATGAGTGTGAAGAAGGCTGGACTGTCTGGACCTTACATATATCCTGTCCAGTTTAGGCTTGGGACCTGGCTGGCAAAGAAAGCAAACACCAGTGCATCTATTCTCCTTGTGCAAACATTTCAATTGCACAGGGGCTGCCAGTTTGGCACTCAACATTAACATTAGAGCTTAGAAGGGAAAAAAAAGCTGTTCTGGAATGGCCCAACAGGGAAAGCCATCCACGTATTTGCCCTTTACAGCTATTAGTGGTGCTGCATGCAGAGCAGCTCCCTGGTCTGAGGGTGGATCTGCAGGGCAACTGCATTTTTGGAGGTTTCCTTTGAAACAGAAACAAAACAGAAGAAAAAGCACCAAACTGCAATTTTAAAAATAGGATGCTCTAAGACTCCTCCTCGAACTCACAGACTGTCCTTATATCATTCAATTTTTTGAATTTTTTAGTGTCAGAATCTGTGGTATTGATTCCGAGATTGTAGAAAGTCTCTGTTTTTCAGCCCCCTTTCCAAAGAAGAAGCCATAATTTGTCTGTGCTGTTTTCAAGGCTGTTTATTCTGTTTATCTCTAACATGTTCTGCTGCCCTGCCGCAGGTCTGTCCTGGAGGGCAGCGTGTGGGGCTCTGCCCCTCAGTGGGATGGTATAAACATTATATACCAGAAACTATGTGTACTATATTTACAATAATGTGCCAATATCTATCACCTACATTGAACAGCCTAAACCAATAGAAAAATGCCAACACTACAGTGAAACAATGGAGGGCATGAAGAAGGAGAAAAAGGACAAGGCACACCCAATTTCCTCCATCTTGTCCCCTTTGGACCCCTAATCTAGAATCCTAAAATTTTACTTTTGCACCTGTGCCACACTTAATTCTTACTTATATCAAACACTCAGAGTTTGTAATTCATCCTGTAATATTGAAAACTCTTTTCCATGGACAGAGATCAGAGACAGTATCTCTCGGGGCTCTGTCCAGGGGGGTTCCTGACCCCTGCCAGGGTCCCAGACCTGCCAGGGCAGCCAGAGGGAAGCCCTGGATTCTGACAACTTTAGGAGTGAGAACAGCCTGGGTTGTCAACAGAGGGCTGTTCAGAGAGACAGACAGGAGAGTGAAAGAAGGCTGGCTATTGTTCAAGATGTGGTGTAGGCTGCAAGAATGCCTTGAGAATGCAGCGCCCACATGTCAGGCAGAGAGAGAGGGCTTTGTGTGAGAACTCTTAGGCAGAATGTCAATCATGTGAATAACCTCTATCTCGTTTTTTTATCTTTGTCCTTGTTATGACACTTCCCTGCCTGGAGTCCACAAGGATAGGTGTCAATTTCATGGAACATGCTGGTGTCTAATCCAAGCTGTCCAGGTAGCGCATTCAGGGAACTGACCTGCCATGAGGTGAGAAAGAGTGTTGGAAGCATCCCACCTTTTCTGTGTGCTCTGCTTTGTGCCACTCTGACACAGCCTTCAGCATCCTTTATGAACAGGTAACACACAAGCACCCTGCTTTGCTTTGGTTTTTCCTAAAACAGGAATGCCTTTATCATTCCTCGGAACAATGTGCAATGATTTGGAGCATTCATAACTGGAGGAGGAAAACATTGGGTAATAGAAAGGAAAAGCTACACACTCATGCAAATGTAAAACCCTTGCTTGATCTGACAATGGTGCACATTGTGTCTGGGTGCAATGATGTCAGAACACAGTTATGAAATTCCTCAAAATCCTGAGCGAAACAGAGGCAACATGCCTGGAAAGGGCCCATCGGTGATTAAAATAATTTTAGTCTTTAAGAAAATTAATGCTTGAAACAGAAGCTTGCTGGGCTGAGAATAACATACCTGCTGTGACCTGAATCGGAGCTGAAGTCTCCCTCCTCATGGGTTGGTGCTACTTCATAGTGCTTAAGGTAGACCCACCTTTGAGGTAACACTGTTTTGCTCACCAGCAGTGGGAAGAGATCCCATACTGATAAAATCCTCCTCCCTGAGAGAGGCTGGGCTAGGATTTTGTGAGCCAACATCATTCAGGGATCATAATAGGTCTATTTCCATGGAGTTTAGGGCCAAGAGGAGCAAATTTGCTGAGGCATCCAGAAGTGAGAGCTGCCACATGAATATGCAGGAGGGAAGTGGTCCTGGGCAGCACAGGGTGCAGTCCTATGCCACCAAAGTCAAAGAGAACTTTCCCAAAAAGTTAAGAGAGCATTAATAATGTGGATTTTGGAATAAACCATGTTACTTCACTGGCCTCCACTATGGTTTATTTGGTATAGTGAATGAACGACAGGCCATATAAAAATCTGTTTGTTTAAACCGGGGTAGCTCTTGTCAGTTCAATAGGGCTGTGCTGATTTGTACCAGCTAAAGATTTCTTTTCATCTCCTCAAGTTTCTTCTTCACTTTTATAGCAACTGTAGCTGTATAGCATTAATAACAGCACCTTATTATGTTATAGTTTTCCATGATTCATGTAAGTGCACATAACCACTTGTATTTAGGGCTTAAATGCTGTGCAGATAATCATCTTGATTGTAGAAGCAAATTTTATTTATGCATAAAAATATTGTTTATTTGGCCAAAACTAGCAATTTCCAAAGTGTGCCAGAACACAGAAACCTACAGGATGGATGTACCATTGGAAACTGCCAGTAACTAGGGAAAGCCATGTATTGTTCCAAAAAATCTTAAAATATGTTTTTCAGAGTAACCCATGAAAAATATTCTGTTTCATTCTAGAGGGTAAAACCATTTTGAGAAAAATTTTGCATCTCTTTTATTTTGGTTTCAAAAATTATATTTCCCCCCCCCCCCCCATTAAAGCACAATTCAGAATACATTTTAATACGAAATCCTACAAATCTCACTGAGAAATGTTGCTACAATTCCTTGGGGAAGAGGGAAGGGTTGTTTCTTTTGCATTTGTCTTGTATTGTGAGGGCGTGAAAAGGAAAAATTCTCCTAATAGCTATAATTTTGTCGAAAGCTATTTTAGAAAGAAATGTGATTTGACTGAGATAGTGGCCAATTCTTGGGTTAGATTTTTAGCAGTGCACAAAGCAAACACTCTAGTTGGTGTTCCAAACTACAACTACCAAAACTCTCTGATAACTACCTCTTCCTGGCTGTGCTTCATGCTGGCTTGGAAAGAACAAGGCGACTTTTTGTCTAAGCCTGTACCAAAGTTATATAAAAGTCTGTGAAAAAGGTTGTGCAGATCCATCCACAAGCATCTGTCTTTTGCACATGCTTGTGGTGTTTTTGCTCATGGCTTTTGAGGAGAGCTAATCTAAAGTTTAATTAAATCATTGAGCTTTACTCCAGCCATACTTTTTCCCCACCCCCAGCTGGCTGGTTTTTTTTGGGCAGGAATTTGCTGCGGTCCCAAACAAAAAATTAATAATGCTTCCTATCCTGAGCACAGAGTGATCTGATGGTGCATGTTGTCGCTGGACATTGAGGAAAAATGTCCATCATCTACTCTGGCCCATATGGTGGAGAGCTGGCATCCCCTTGCCCTGAGTCAGGCTGTGACAAGAGATGTTGGTGTTAATTAAAATTAATGTGATAATACCCACGCCTCCAAAACACCATGCAGGCCATTTGTGCATGTCTAGCAAGTTCTTCGACCCTGAAATGAAACCCATATGACAAACATAACAGCTGAAAGTACAGGCAGCACTGAGCACATCTAACTTTTCTGTAGGAATCTGGACCCACCAACCCATGGACTCAAGAAAAGAAGTACGAGGAAGAGCTAAATGAAAATCCTCTTCTTGCTCAGAAGACATTCTGCCTTCCCATTCCTGCTCCCTCACTTCCATCAGACAATGACCTTTCATGGAGCTTAATCCCTGCTAGCACCACCCTCATCCCACATTCCTCCCTTGTTCTTCATTAAGCTCCACTTCATGTATTTCCAGTCACTTTTGACTGGAAATGTCACACTCCCAACTGCCAGAAATGCTCCCAGTCCTTTACTCTGCTGGCCTCAGCTGCTGCATGGTCCAGCTCCCCCTCAGTTACTATTCCACACTGGAGAAAGGCTGGAACTAGCAGGAAGTTCCAACAACAGCAGGAACACCCAGGGCCAGGAAGTGGAGGCTGGAAGGGCTGAGCTGAGTCAGAGGTTCCCCACCCCTAAATCCGTCTCAGTCCTGATTAAGTTCTCTACCTCCTCCTTGCCACAGACTGCTCCCATGGATGCTCTCAAATCCAGAATTCCCCACTGTCCAATGGGGAACTGCACTTTGTAAGGAACTCACCATCCAGAAGAGCTCAACTCCCAGCTGGGCATCCTTATAATGACCAGACTTTCAGAAGTGTTCAGCATTTTGCAATTATTTGCCATATCATCTCTTGAAAAGTTTGGTTACAGTAGCCAGAAAGACAAAAACTTTATGAAAGGAGTAAATGTAGGAAGAACTTGTTCACAAATTCACTCTCCTGTCCTAAAGTCCAGTTCCCAGGTGTGCTGCAAGATCCTATTAAAAATCTCTGATGATTAATAAAACTTTTTAAAACATTCCTATGCACTTTACATAGGTATTTTTTCTTTAATTTACTATGCCCCTCGTTTGCTATTTGTGCTTTAAAAAGTAGTATCTGGATTCAAAGGGATCGTCTTTGATCCTTGCACTGGCTTTGTGGTTATCTTCATTCTTATACTCCAGATCATGGCAAGTCCCTGCAGGCTCCCTTCTTTATCCTCCCTCAATTTTCATTCCTCTCTAGAGTTGGACTATTTTTTATGCAGGTTATCCTCAAAGTGGAAATTTCAGCCGAGTTCCATGAGCTCAGCACATTTTACATTTCTGCTTCCTTGACCTGCATCACTTGGGTGGGGCTGGACCGAGGCTCACCAGGAGAAACTTCCCCACCAACAGTTGTGGCTGCTGGGAACTGGGGCAGGGACTGAGCCTCACAGGACCTGGCAGCACTGCCTCTAAACCCCCTGGGTGAGGGAAACCTTCAGACACACCTCTCAGGACTCTTTTAACCTTTTAGCACCCCTAGAAGGATGCTCCAACCAGGGGTTGTGCTGCATTTCAGATGCAGCTGGGTGGTGTGTATACATCTCTTGACGCAAAGAGGCTGCTGTAGAACGACTGTTCTAAAATGTTGCTGGCAAATTGTTGTTAACATGAACAAGAGAAACAAGAGTGCTGAGAGCTCTGGGTATTATTGAAATATTTAAATATTATGTATGATGATGCCTCTAATTCAACATTTTCTGTGGTAAACACAGCAGAAATCACTGTAGCAAAATGTTATTCCTTATTCTAAACCAAATTCTTGAGGTTTGTTTTATTTATATCACATGTGGCTGAGAGAAATAGTTCTAGGAAGGCTCAAACCTTATATTTTCTTTTCAAGTTGCCAAAATATCTTAGAGAAATCAATTGCCAAGGACTTGTCTGTGCAGCTAAAGATTTATTTTTAACCTCTTGGTGTGCCAAAATCAGGAACAATTATTAATCTGTCCTGAAATTGCCAATACAACCTGCTAGCAACAGATGGTGTGATTGAAAAGCCTGAAGTGGCCATTTTTAATATTCAGTAGATTGAAAAAATCTTAGGTCTCTAATCTTATCTAACCTCTTGTGACCAAGGGCCCACGTTATTGACTAAAAGACAATATCAATAGCCTTGATTTGAGCCTGAATCAGCCAGGGAACTGGATCTTCTGAGGCACTTTGTACCTCTAAGTGGTGCTTTGTGTTCCCATCTCTGCTGGCCTTGGTGGGAGAGGAGCACTGAGGGTTACCCTTTGGAAACTTAAAAGTCAGAGCACCCAGTGCTGCAGGTATGGCTGCACTCCAGGGGTCCTTGTTTAGGTCTGAACTTGTATGGTACTTAAGAACAGCTCCTGTCAATGCCAAGGGATGCAGAAGGATTACATTACTAGATATTATCTCGGGCTTGATGTATTTATACATCTCAATTACAAAATCAGGAAGTGTTGCCAGCCATCCTTTGGATATAGCTGGCACAAACACACGCACACACACACACACACACACACAGAGCGAGTGAAAGAAATAAAAATAATGCCATACTGTGAGCCTGCTTGAGGTTTTGATTAGTTAAGGATTGTGGAAATCTGATTCTTGCAGCCTGTGGTGACACTGTGCTGCTGGGGAAACTGGGTTTTGTCCCGGGTGTCACTGCTGGGGAAGGCAGGAGTGCAGGATCCCACAGCTGATCAGGAAAGGTGGATCCCAACTCCAGACTCACTCACCCCACCCAGGAGAAAAGCTGATTCTGAATCCCAGGTTTGGGATTGCTCATTGTTTCCTGTAATATCTCTGCATCCCTGATTTATTTTGTGAGCAACAAAGGCAAGGGGGACCTAAACCACAACAGCAGACACTGTATGAGGTAGCGCAGGTGAGAAACAGCCACAATTCCCCAGGTAAGGTATCCTGTATTTGCTGAGCAAAAGCAGCAGATGTGGCAGCAGGACAAACGTTGCACGTTTGACTCCGAGGCAGACAAATCCTCCTGTAAACCGAGCGCTGCAATTTGAGAAGCCTCTCTCTATTTTTAATGATAGATTTTTAAAAACTATCTTTATTGATAGTTGTGGGCACAGACCCCGTATCCTGGCGGGTCAGCAGCTCCTCAGCCACAAAGCCCAGCTCTGGTCCAGGCCTCCCTCCTGTCCTGTCCTGTCCTGTCCCTCGGCCCCTTCCCGCCCACGTGAAACCACTGAGCACGGTCAGGCAGTCCCCTGACAATTGGGGATGTGGGAAAGCTCTTCCCGGGCAAGCAGCAGCCTTTCCTGAGCTCAGGCTGGGGAGGAAAGGCTGCTGCACAAGGGGAGAGTGATGGCAGTGCATCTCAGCTTCCTGATGAAGGGAAAACGAGCTCTCCCCTCTGCGATTTTCTCTGGAGGCTGTGAGAGTGAGGGAGAAAAAGAATGAAAGATGAGAAAATAGCCACCTAGAGGGATGTAACCTTAATTTTGCACATTAGCACACTGATGGCAGGTACTGCTGTGGAATGGAAGGTGCTGGGCAACACCAGGAAAGATAAATTTCAGTATTAAGTGATCTTGTTCAGCATGATTTAGTGTGCCCAACAAAGCGAGACAAACACCTAAAGAACAAGGGCATAGCTAAATCCCTCAAGGATTTCTGCTGGAAAGAAGCGGGGCCTGGGACGCCTAATGGTCTCAGTAGATATCAGCAAAGTATTGAAATTCTTCATTTCTACTTGTGGATGTGACACGGAACCCCTTCCTAGCTTTGGATACATCTTGCACCGAGATTGCATTCAGTTGTCTGAAAATGGGATTATGAAGTGATTATTCATGTCTGTAATATTGTTTCAAAACAGAAAAAAATATTAAAATGCCTTCCTGTGACAGCAAATTTCTGCCAGCTCTGACATGTGTTCTTAAATGTTAATTTCGTACTATCAGGCCATGTTTTTTCTCGTGATTGTGTTGAAAGTCTCTTTGTCTCCCTGGTTTCTAGGAGAATTTCTGCACTATTAGCAGTGAATTAACTCTGAATATCAGAATATATAACTCTGAATATGTCCACAATACATGGGTTTCCTTAATGTGAAAATATTTTGCATCCTTGCAGAAATACCTTCAGCACTTCTGTGAGGGATATGGTCTGCAAAGCACAACCAGCCCTTGTAATCACACTACCACAATTCAGAAAAATAAATGAGGGGTCTAAGAAATGATGTGCGATCTTTTTAGTAATGGAAATAATTTTTTTTAAACTTTCTATGTGAGTGCATTATTGTTCTCATTCTTACATCTGTCATGGGTGGTGGAAAAATGTACAGCTGTTTAGCTTTATAATATCACAGGAAACAGTCCAGATTTCTGCTCTGCCTCACTTGAAGACTCTCTTTTAGGTTGTTTTGTGTTGTTTGTTCTCAGAGAAGAGAGCTTGCCATTTGATATTAACATTAACAGAAAAGTCCTGAACCAAATAAGCTCTTAGAGCTCAGGGGGAACATCTCCAAATTTTTCTGCTGTCTAGATGGACTAATCACACACTGCAAAAACAGAGAAAAAGCCAGGGAACTGGAAATTATATCTTCAGGGCTGTTTTTTTTAATCATGTTTCAATCCACTTTTAAATTTTTTTCCTTTTTTTTTTTTTTTTTTTTTTTAATTACTGTTTAAATAACAACAACAAAGTATTTCCTTTTTCTTTCCTGTATAGGGAATCATGAAAGATACAGATTATATGGAACAGCCAAGGCTGGGGAAGAAGGGAAGGTCATCACTTTACAGGACTGAATCCTAAGTACCACCAGAATTTCTGACAACACATAAAATAAAGAAAAGCCTGCAATAACTAAACTTCCTTTTTTGAATGGGTGCCTGGTACTGGAAGGTACCATTGACAAGAAAGGCATCTAAGGACACTTAGCAGCAGCCAGATAATATTCAGTATCTTCCAAGATCCAATGCCTCAGCCCACAGGAGCAGAGATGCAGGGGATTTTTAGCATCCAAAAAAAGAAAGGTGAAGGGTTCATCTCGGTCCTAGGTGGTATTTGAAGGCTGGTGTTAGTTAAGGCATGCCCAGCACTGCTGCCAGCAGCTTACAAACCATTTTCTTTTGACTTTTCCTGTCTGAAAGACAAGAGCTGGGATTAGGGTGAGCGCAGAGCAAGCCTCAGGCTCACCCCTCATTCTTTTCATCATCAGATCAGACCATTTGGATTCTCTATACAGCTGGAAAACAAACTCTTCCACACTCCAGCTCATGTAAATTCCTCTGTAATTCTCTTGATACAGGTGAGTGAGGAATGACACCAGTTGATGATATTTTCCTGCATTTTTATTTCTGAATTTTAACCTTTTTTGCAGCAAAATCACAGTGAATTAAGCCATTTTTGGCAATTAGTGTAGTCAAAGACTGTGAAGCAAAGCAGGAGCATTTATAAAATTATCCATGATAGATTCACCTAAATTTATTTATTTATTTTAAAAATTTCTGCAGCCCACTTGTCAGGCTTCTGAAAGTGGTGATAAGATGACAGACAGGTGAGAAATAAGGACCTTTCAACCCAGAGATAATTTTCTCTTTACAGTTCACGAGAGTTTATTTTTAACAAGACTTCTATGAAAATTGAGAAAGCTGTGTTACTCTTGATTCACATCCCCTCGCCCCCTCAAAAAAACCATGTATGTATATATGCATATATACATATTGAAGTAGTCTATATAAGGAAATACATGAAAGATGTAAAGAAAGAACATAAGAGATATAAAAAATAACATTATGAAAGAAAGACTATGTATATGACTGTTTAGTTTAATGACCATTAGACCCCTAATGTCTTAGAGTATTCAGATAGACTTAATCCTAAATAACAATAAATCTACTCCCTTTTTTTAGCACTTTAAAACAACTTTGTTCCTTTGAAAGTTACAGTAGTTTTTACTGGTCTGCCTTCAACAGGGTTCTGTGGCCATTTATGTGATGTGATTTACCCTCCATTAATTAGAACTTTTCTGGTAGAGAAAAAAAATACTCCACAAAAAAGAGACTGTGAAGTTCTGGCATTTTTATATTTCTATCTGTATTGAAACAAGGGTATAATTTCAATTCCAAACACTGAGCTGGTAGAAATAACTTTAGCTGCAGGAGGTAAATCTAAAGATAGTGTTAAATCTGCATGTACAAAACAGAAGTCTGCACACACAAACTCACATCTGCATGTGCAGAATGAGTTGATTCTTGCTCAGGTGAAGTTTTGCCAGTGTGAGCATGCAGGAACATTGGGTCAGTTGTTAAAATGCTGAACACACTGAAATCAAAAATTCTATATGATCTAACTTGTGAGTCTGAACACATGGCAAAAAACACTTATCCATGACATGGGGTAAGGAAGCATATTGCAATAATAAAATACCTACTTTTCCATCATTGTTAAATTCTCAAATGTCTAAGTTTTGGATCTACACATCTTCCTATACTAACAAAGCACTTGAATGGGAATTCATCTATGTGGAATGACATTTCTATTTCTCCTTATCAGCAAGAGGTTTAGCCCTTCTTTTTTAAATATCAGCAATACAATAAAACGTTATTGATGTACAGAATATTTGTCATAGATTCTAGACTAAGTAGAATGAAAATTCTTTATTTGTATTTTGCAGTTTTTGAGAAAACCTTTGTGTGCACCACACAGCCCATTGCAGATCCAAGTATCCACCCTACTGGAGTGAATCTCATGTAGGTTCCAATTTTCCATTGGATGGAAAAGCACTGTAGTGGAGTTGAAACACTTCATTTTTAATAGCTAGGGAAGTAACCAGTGGCTGGGTAATAAGTCCTATCACACAGGCACATCCCTGGAAAAATCCACTCTATTTTTACTAGGGGACCCTCCGCCATCAATTTGCTGTCTGACTCAAGTTCCTTAATTCTCCCTGCAAGTCAAGTGAGAATACTGTCCTTTTTGGGATCATTGTTCATTTATTTCAGCAATATGTACTATGATGAGTATTAATAAGCTTGTCTCCAACTGACCAAAAAATTACTTCTTTAGTTTTTATCAGTGAAATATGGTCATACAAAAATTTACTTCTCTGGCATACTCCCCACTTACCATAATGAGGAAGTATATCTGAAGAAATATATGGTTAGAAATAATGCTTTTATGTTTTCAATATTTTGTTATTTTTGCCTCAAATCACAGCTCAGTTCAGTGTGATCTGACATGGTTGAAATACTGAAACCCCCACTCCTCCAAAGCAGTGTTTATTATAGAAACCACAAACTTAACCTAACCTAGAGCAGCTTTTCCAGCAGTGATATAATTACAGTAGTTATTGTTGCAATAAACCAGATGTTCCTGAGCTGGAATGAAAGAACTTCCCCCCCCACATTGCATTTGTTATGTTGCCTCTTTTCAAGTTTCACATCAGCTGTTCGGAAAGCACTCTCTCCATTGAGTGTCACTTACAGATTCTTGCTGGGTGAGCCTTTTAGGGCAAAAGAATGAAATGCTGGCCAGGTTCTGAATGTTCACTGCTCCAACATGACAGTTTTCAGTGTCACTAATTCTTGCCCTGGCTTAAAGATTTATATTTTTTGTCCTTTAAGACACTTGGCTGAAAAAACCAAAAAAACCAACACTTTGGAAAACTGCTTATTGAATGAGTACATTGTTCTGTGTGAAAAGGAGTGATCCACTCCTACAGAATCAATGGAGTTTGGCACAGACTTCAGTGGAGCCACAATTTTAGTCATTATTTTGAGCAATTTAGTTATTAGGCAACATCTTTTGAACTGCTTTGTCAGCTGTGGTTGCAACTCCGGACCATGAACAACCGTTCAACCTGAACCATGAATATCCAGCATTGCTCGAACATTACACATCTTGTGTTTTTTTACAATGTGTTAATCAACACATTTCTAATATTTCCCAGCCCAATCAAGTCCTAACTGCAAAAATGTGTTGCAAATAAAAAATTGGACTGTGTTTAAACTGCTAGGATCTTAGACATGAAAGTTGTTGTGTATATTTCATGCGTGCAAGAAACCTGTCTAGGAACAACCACCACGAAGAGTCAAGAAGTCAGGAGATTGCTTTATTGCACTTATAGAGCCATATAATAATACAATAAAGAAACACAAACTGAGCTTGGGGTTTTGTTTATTCATAGGTAAGGTTTACTCTCATGAAAATACAGGAACAGTAAGAATTAATTATCTTATCAACTATCTGAACAAGTCACGGCAATCCTGGAAGAAACCTTTGTAATCCTCAGGTACACGTGCTGATCTTTTTTCTGCTCACTCATGGTAAACTACTAGTCAGCCCATCCCCGTGGCAACTGCAATGTGATGAGGGAGGAATTTACCCCATGGTCTGCTAAATTTACACTTTGTAAAAATGTAAATGTTTCTTATAGAAGGAATTTACATGGCTCTGAAACACAGTCCAACTTTTCACTGATGTGGTAGGGGATGCAGAAGTTGTTGGCCTGGTTTTACAAAAATCTTTGAAAATGGGCCATAAAATAGCTGAGGAAACCCAAGAGGCACCCACACGTTTGGAAGCAGATTATAAGAGAGCTCTGCTGCTCAGCCACAATCAGCTCCCTGCTTTCAAAAGACATGGTATCAAATTCGCATTTTTTGCTCTCCTACAGGGAACGTGTAAGAGCTGAAATAAATACATAAGCAGAGCCTATGCCCAGGGAACCTTGACGTCTTTCCCATCATTGAGGCTGGGAGGCCCCTGCACTTCTCCCTTGGCTGTGACATGCCCAGCAAATATTTCCACCACCCACACTAGATTCATTCTTAACTCTCCTCACCCAACTCATCATTACAGCTGTGCAAAGCATCCATTACAAACCCTGGAGCCATCCAAAAGCTACCTTTGTAACTTCAACCTGTGCTTCACACCCAGCGGGAATTGGTTGGACTTTTGGCTGCGTTAACTTTTTGAGACAATTGACCCCCAGTTTCATGCATATTTGGGCCCAGGTTAAGGTGAATGATTTATGGGTTGCATAGTTTGAAAATCACTGAGAGGGTTTCACATCACCTCATTGCATAGACCTCTGTCAATATTCATGGAAATTGAAAAAGATGTGTGCATAATACACTGCAAAAGGGAATACTAATAACAGTGGTCAAATCCCAAATGAGCTCTTTGCGTTGCAAACAATTCCTGGTCTGAAGGACCTGGGCAGGGGGGAAAGGAAAAAAAAAAATCTTTTAAAGTCTTTAACACTTTATTGCTTCAAAGTGTAAGTCACTCATAAATTTTTTATGACATTCCTTTATTTAGCACATATGCATGCCACTAGTGGTTCAATTAGACAGGAACTCTGCAAGGAGTTGCTGTAATGATGCTCTCTGGCAGGAAGTAGAGGGAAACCGAGACTTAAAAATTCCAAAGATGGAAAGTTAGAATTTTCTGTAGTCAAAATGAGAGATTTATTTGGTTGGTGGCAAAAGTTTGTGTCTGCAAAGTTTGGATTTGGGTGCTCACCAGGATTTTGGGCAGCTCAGTTAACAAAACTGAGTGACATCTTGCTCTGTTACCTTTCAGAACTGTGGGGAAATCTGCTTTAAAGCCACTGGCAGAAATTACAGATAAGCAAGTTTTTTTAAATAAAAAGCAGTTTGAAGGACAGGATTCAATTTAGGAGGCTTTATGGCTTTTTAGACAGGATTGAAGAAACTAATTTCACTAATTTTTAAAGGAAGCCCAGACCACTCAAGGCAGAAGTACCAAAACATGTCACTTAACATCTTGTAACAAAAGAACTTCCTTGGTTTCTGTTTGCAGCATGGCATATTTTTGTTTGCAAAAGAATCCTTCTCTGTCATGAGTGAGCCCATGCAGAAGATTGTGACTACCTTACCAGATCCCAGCTGTGGAATACTCCTTCCTGCTGATACTAAAATGTTCATTTCAGTGAGAGCCAGAGGGACAGCTTTTAGTGTGTGGCCAATGTTGCTTTGTCCTGTGGTGACTTCAGTTATCTTCTGAAATCCTGTGATGCACCCGTTTATCCAAATGCCTTCAAGACAAGCAGATTTAAGGTGTGTAAATGTGTATAAATCACAGAAAAAGTGGCTTGAGATGGAGTTACATTGTACTTAAGGTCATATTAAGAAAAGCAGGCATGGGGCTGAGCAGGGGGAGATCCACAGTGCAAGCAAGTGTCTGAATTGGTCACCACGGTGTGAGGCACTGTTGGCTCTCAGTTCTCCCAGATGTCTGGGAGAGGTAAGGTGAATCACAGCCTACAAGTTTCTGTTTTTTCCCATTATCTCCACAGGGAAGGGGAGTGACTGAGCTTGGAGTGTATCTTGCTCCACGTTAGGTGAGGTTCCCAGTGTCTGGTGAGTACACACAAGGTGGAATTTGGTGGATGAGGAAGGGAGAGAAGACAAACATTCAGTGCTGTGGAGGTCAGTGCTTTATTCTGCTCTGCTGAAAGAGAATTCCTGCCTTGGTCAAAAATTATCAAATAAAAATAGTATGGAAAGTTTGTCATGGAAACATTAACAAATTACAGAATCAGCAGTGGTTCTCTGTGAAGAAATGAGCCACAAAAACAACATGTGAGCAGCCCTGGATTGCAACACCAGAACCCCAAAGTGCATTTATAACAGCTCTTAGTCACCACTTTCACCGTGTCCATTTGTCCTGGCTTGGAGAAGTGCTGAGCATCCTCATCCCACATCAGCATCAACACCTTGAGGACTGATACCCAGGGGCAGAAAAAATACTACACATTAATTTTTCCTGTCACACACATGTGGATGGCTGTGAATCAGGGGAAAAAATTGCTTTCTAATAAATGATGTGAGACTAGAAAAGTGATAACATAATGCTTAATTTGAGAGTAAAACCCCTTTGGATTCGCTCCAGTAAAAGAGTGATGCCACTCTAACAGCCCTGTTCTGAGGAGTCAGTTGGCATTTCCACTGGTAATCTTGATTCTTGGGATTGGTATTGGGATTGGATCTGTCATTTCAACTCGGGCTGAGTTGTAACTTAGTGCAAAAAAGAAAAACAAATTGCTGAAATTATAGGCTTTCTCCCTCCCCTCTCTCTGCATCACAACAAAATCAGATTTACTTTTTATGAGCTATTTGCAAAACCTCGCATCATAAACATCTTCCTTTTAAATGGATAGATAAAGAAAGGAAGAAAAATGAAATAAGTTCAATATTTAAGCAATTTGCTCAACATAGACAGTCCTTCTTTTCCATAAGTTGCTATTTTTTCTTCTTAAAAAATGATAAATATGTTACAAATCACACTTAATAACATGAGGGAAAAAAATGCAGGCAATTAGTACTGAATGCTCCAGTAAACGTATCTGTTGCAAGAAGAGGTGTCATAAAAGATTAGATTTACTGCCACTGAAGTCAGCAAAAGCATTTCCATTGCCTCCAGCTGGAGGAGGACTTGGTTTCTAGGAAGTTCACTCCAAAGATGATTATCTTTATATCAGCAAGTCTAGAAGCGAGGGCTCCATGGCCTTCAAGGTGAATGCTAAAGGGAATAAAGGGCTAGTAAAATCCCTGTTTCTGCAATGATAAAGATGCTGGCCCCAGCTGAAATATACAGAAATGAAGTACAGTTATATGAGTTTGAAAATCTGACCAAAAATCTCAGAGTAACCACATTTGCAGTCCTACCACAGGTAAATCTTCCAGAGATCTTGTTACAACTGTGACCTAAATAAGCAGTCTGGGGCCTGTCTCAGTGCTTGTTATCAGATTGTTCAAATATTTCACTTGCATATATTAACTAAAGAAGGTGTCAGACCCTTTGTTCCAGCTGTACACAGAATTTACCAAATTCACTGCTCATAGTCCACATAGTAGAGGTTGAATTGTCTGGGAATTTTCAAATAATCTTGTCAAACTGTGACTTTCAATTAATATAAAAAAGGACCTGTAAGGGCTTCCTTAAACTGTCTCATTTTTGGCCTAAAAATAACCAGACTTTCAGAATTCTGTAATGGTTAGAAGTATTAGTGACAAGCTATTGTGGCCCTGCTTTCCAGGAACACAGGCAAGCAAATCTCAATTCCACTTTCTTGTGTGCTTATTCCATTTTTTGTTACTTGAGATGACTACAATTGTGTACAGTTTTTAACAGGCATGAATTCACAGCTGCCCACTTTTGAACCACTGCTACATCACATTTCCTCTCTCATGGAAGGGGAGAAGGTTTCCTTGGTCCTGTTCCCCAGGAAAGCTCGGGGACTGAAATTCCTCTCTCCAGGCTCTTCCCGACACAGCTCCTGCAGGCTGCCCACCTTCCTCCCAGCCTATTCTGAGCCCCATCTCTGCTGCTTAGCCCACTCTGTCTTTTTTCCACATGCATCCCTTCCCAAAACAAAGTCTGCAAGGTTCCCCACCCAGATCTTTGGAATTCCTGGGGCAGCCTTACATATGCCTTTGTTTTGGGCAGGAACATATGCTGAACTGTCTCCTCCAGCACTGCCGAAGAGAAGGGCGGTGGTTAAACCTACCATTTTCAACAGGGCTTAACCCAGCCTGTAAGAAAGCCGTCGGTGAAGGTGCAATTTCACAACCCCCACTGTGTGTGTGTGTGCTGTGTTGGAAGGAATTTGCAGAGAAATGGCCATCTTTCCCCAAATTTCCTGCTAGAGAGGAGCAACAATCAGGACCAGGTTCAGTTGAGATCTGTGTGTAGGAAAAAGGCTTCATTCTTAGCCTTTGGTTGCTCTTATGATTTGTACTTCAGACTTTGGGGGGCTCAACAGATGTACAGGCAATTCCAGCTCTTTAGTTCTGAGCTGACCTGACCTCAGCACCAGTTTGGGAGCCAGAGAGGCCACACTCGGTGTGAATTTGGGCTGTACCTTGCCCAAATCACAAGCCAAAGCTCTGCCTTCATTAGACTGTGGAATTCAGGGTGGTTGAATCACCTTTTGGGGGGGATCTCTTGACCGAGGCGTTGTCCCAATAACCTCAGTAATGCAGAAAGCACTGCCACGTCTGTCAATCCCAAATAATGCAGCTGTGAATGGCCTTCGTAAGACGGGGTTTGTACTCTGGGAAGACTCATCCATAGTATGTTCTGTTTTCCCTGGGTGGCAGGGAGGTGATCTCCAAAGCAGTGTTGTAGCCATTGGCAATAGAATGGGCAGGAGGTGTTCCATAACTTGGCATCTTCTAAAAGACAACATTTGTGTTAAGGGGGTTATCACACATAACCAGCCTTAATCTCTTTTAAATGAAGGCTCTGTTTATGGCTCATCAAGGTCAGGACTGTAAATCCTGGAACAAATCACCAGGTATAATGAAAAGGAATAATGCCAATTATATTCTCCAGCCATTTTTAGTA